GTTGTAATTTTTTGTTAGACTTTTCAATAAAACAGTTTCTTCGATTTTCCCGTCATTAGTGACGTTCGTGGTGTTCGTGGTTCATGGTCGTGTGAAACACCAGCGAGTGTTCCGGAGACCGGTTTCCTGTCTCGTCTTGTGGAGTCTACAGACCTACTTATTATGCCTAATAATAAGTCTAATTGCGGTTAATTATGGTATAATAATTTTCGCCTTTGTGTGGTATTTACAATTAAAATTTACATATCCATGAGGCATATGAAATTGAGGTTAAGACTCGGGGTTCGCAAAACTATTTTGCCCTCTCTCTTCCTCCACACTCCACCCTCTTGCTGGCCACACCCTTAAACGCTGTGAAAGAGGGGTGGGATTGTGGACCCAGATAGTAATTGTTCCGCATGTAGTAATGTGTTAACTGTAACTGGAATTTGCGGATGGGCGTAAATGGATCTGCTATCGTACACTAGTCCATGGAGTGTCAGTTGAAGAACACTAGTTTAGATTAACTATTGTAAAAACAATTGTCCTAAACCTGTAGGAAAATGCAGGTATAGAGAAATTTATTTCTCGGATGAGCTGCTGGGGTACTGTAGGATATTTTCTGGCTTGGTCACGTGGTTGGGCCCCGGCAGTATTTTTCCCCCCAAATGTCCGGCAAGTTAGGAAATTGCCTCCAGGCGTTCTATAAGAAATTTTTGAATCTCTTAAGGCTGCTATTGTTCCGCAGGCTTATTGTCCGAAGTCAGTGGTGCTCAACCGGTGTTCCGCGGCATCTAGGTGTTCCACGAAATTTTCACCCCATATTATAATTATAACCACAATGAGATAAATAATTGTTAATCTTGTTTTTTTGCTCTGTCTCAATTTTCATTTTCTTTATTATGATCGGGCAGACAGAGGACAGACAAAATCTACTAAATGGAATTGGAAAAAAATACAACCCCTTTGCAGCAAAACATGTGTACCTCCCCTTTACTTTTATTTCTACTCTATGTATTTTTCTGCAATATACATGTTTTAAATATGAATAAGTATCGTTAAGTTTAAATGTTCACACAGTTAATAAATTTTGGATTAAACGTAGGAAATATTTTGTTTCTAAAAATGAACATTTTTAAAATAAATAACATAATAATAAATATGGATAATTATTAACATTAAATAGAAAATGTTTCGGTTGGGGTCGATTTATAATAAGTTGTCGCTGCCAATCAGTGCCATAAACCATCTACGATATGCAAAATGGGGTTGGAGTGCCGCCATGACTCTTCGACAATATTTAGTGTGCCGCGAGTGTAGACAGGTTGCGTAACACTGTCCTAAGTCAACCGTCTGCAAGAAAAATATGTATTGTCTTTTATATGGCCAATTTCTGATATGGCGTGTATTTAAATACGAAGGAAACTGGTTTCTGAAATGATTTATTACCTTTATAAAAACTTGAAGCTTTCACTGCGACTGAATAATATGACGTCTTCAGACATGTGGGAATGGAGTTGACATCCAATGTTTTGAAGACTGTCCTTATTGTGGTTATTACAGTCAGAGGCAGTCTCGAAATCGTTGGATTTTATCTCCATTCTCACGCGCGTTCTGAGCGTCCGTTCGCTGTCCGGACTGACGATGTACGTTCTCAGGGCCGTAAACAAAAATGGGTTCAAGAAGCATGGAAACAAACAGTTACTTTAAAAGAGCTTCTTGACAGACGATGCGACTAAACTTTATGAATATTGTAGAATGTCTCAGCATTCGTTTAGTTCCCTTGTACAGGAAGTGAAACATGATGTACGCATATAAACACTTAGCTCAGCTCATTAGACTTTCGATAGGTGTTATCAAAATCGGTTTAAAATTCGAGCCTGAACTATGCGTGGCCTTTGGTTTATCCTTCGAGCGCGGAACCTGTCATTGTCAGCAGATACAATAAAGTTTTAGTTCAGTGTCTCGATTGCATTCTGTTTCTTCGCCTTTTAAACTATGAAAGAGACAAACAACGCCGTGCCGAATAGGCAACTTCTCTGGCACGGTTGCAAGATCGGTTAGTCTGTCATCTGGGGTTATGCTTTCCATTGAAATGTTTGAAGCCCGAAATTGGAAGTGGTGTAATATCCTTCTGTGTTTGGCTTTACTGTACCTTCTATTAATTAGAATTGTTTATGCCATCTGTTTAGCAAAAGTAATCAGCGTGATTGCCTTATTTGAAGAGAAATTTAATTTCACTGACTTTACCGAGACGTGTGACTAGGTTCGACAGTAAAACGAAGGTGAACATTACCGTTTGAACGTCTGTGTTCGCTGGTAACGAGTCAGCAACGTAGCAGACTGGCATTGAAAAATTTCACTGATAATTGTGCATTTGTAATACCACTGTTATGAGAGAGGACGTAATTTTTATTTTGTGCTAAGTACAGGAGGATCTAGCCTTCCTTCAACAATTTGCTGAAGAGTAACTCTTTATTACCGATGGACCAAGTTTCAACGCAGACAGTTTTTGGCTGTAAAGTAAACTAAAGCTGTCCCTCTATATGTCATGTTGGCGTCTGGGGGGAGAGAAGGTGTACCTCCTACTCATTCTTAATCTCGGCACTAGATAGCGTCACGTCATGGCGCGCTTTACCCCAGGGAAAGGTCCCCTATACGCTTTGGAAAGGGGTCTGGGTGGGCCCCAGACCCGGTCTGGACGCAGAGGCTACAGGAAAAATTCTGACTGGCAGTCAGTATAGTGACTGACTACAGACTGGACGACCGGGGTTCGATCCCTGACAGCTGTATAGGATTGTCTAGTGGCTGGTTGTGGATTAATAGCGACCAACCTTCGGGTTCTGTGTTCTGAGAGTTACAGCCCAAATAAATTAAAGTAATAGTAAGAATATTTATTTAATAATAATAGTATAAAGAATGTTTATTATGTGATATATCATCAGGCGAATGAAGGGAAACGTATTTCATGCTAAATAACATTTATTTCTCTGGAAATGTGAAGGCAATGAATGTCTGTGTTTGTGTTTCGAAATGTCTGCCTGCAACGTCGGTTTTGGCAGTGTTTTATGAGCGGTACAAAGTATTAGTTTATTTTGGTACTGTGCACAGATGTAAGGTGTCGTCGTGTATAAATCCGGATACGCTTTAATTTGTTATGGATTCCCACGTTGCACATCAACAGAAGCAGGATTTAAAGATAACTTGCAGAATTTGTGAGCGTGCACCGATTTTGTCTATTTTTTTTAGCGATGCCTCATAGTGCAATAGCCAGTGTGAGTCAGACGTTTGATTTAGAAACCGTTATCCCATTCCATGATATTTTAGCGCATTCTAAACGAAATGTTGATCGAAATTTGAAGGAAATGTAAATGGGGAATCATACTAAACCTTCATGACACATTCCAATTTTAGTAAAAATCGGACAACAGTGGCAAGAGTTTACATGAAGACCTACATGTATTTCTGCTCATAACTCCCTAAATATTCGTTAGAGCGAAACATTTTCCTAACAAATGTAGAAAAATGTAATGCACTTTTATGTCCAGTACACGTTTTCCGCAAGTCTTAAGGTTTTTGACACAAACAAAATGGGTTTTTATGCTATGCCGTACCGTTGGACATCAGTCACATCCTCTTTGATGCTGTCAGATGTAAAAGTTAGCACACACGAATTGAAAATGGAAAATTCTTGTGCTATGCCCACGTCGACTACCTTACTTTCGCCGCCAAGAAATTCATGATTTCTGTCGTTGAAACACCACAAATAGCAGTCAGCAGCTGAGATGTGGCAGAGCGTGGTTATTCTACTAATCTCAACCATCAAATAAATCCGGATCAGAAGAGATCTGATGAGATCCCTTGTTCGTTCCGTGGAAGGGATTAATTAGGTGTGTATATTCTAATAACTGAGTGTTATATGCGTTGTATGATTTGAGGTTTTCACAGCAACGCATATAACAGATTTCTGTCTTCTGGGTTGTTGCGCCGTGTAGTATGGTAGATGTTTACCATTCGCAAGTGAATAGGTATTGTAACCGGATCATCTCTATTTTTCTTTACTTTTATACACTGAAATGCAATTCATGAGATTTGCGAACCGCAAGGGAAGGAAACTAAGATGTAACAAAATTGTACAGATTTCACCAACAACAGATTTTATCCAGCCATGTAGAATAAATTGAAGCAAAGATATTAAAAAAATTGAGCCGATATTGACGGTATTTAAAATGTCTCCCCAAACGAAGAAATTAATATTGAGGCAAGCTTTTGTCACAGCTTATTTTGGTTTTTGCTCTAACAGTCTTTACTTTTTGTCCGTGTACTGGACGGTCGGGGTTTGGCTTCTACCAGAAGCAGACATTTTATCTTCGCCACTGTTGTGCCTATAGTCCAGCTTCATATTCACTGGGCCTGCAGTCATTGGGCTGGCACGTGAAGCTGTGTGGGCGTACGAACCTCCATCAAATACCGAGGTCTACAATGCGCCGAGTTGTAACTTGATGTCCTTCATAGCTCAGTGCTTAGGGGCAGAGACACATTTTAATAGCACGAGCAACAATAATTTGTTTGAGAGAGTTGACTTTCGTACGACATTCTGGGTTTTGACGCCGTGTAGATTCGCAAGTGAATAGGTATTGTAACCGGCAAACTGCTTGGCGTGGAAGCCAGTTCTAGGAAATTGATAGCGATTGTATACTAGCAATTAAAAACGCATTTGACTGGCTTCGACTGCAGGACTTGTACTGCTGTTTGGAACCGAAATCTGAGGTAAATATTTTCAACATGGCGTGGCCCGTAAAGGTCCGCAGCAGGTAGTTTTCCCATAGTTATTTATACCATTGTTTCGGAGAAACATACTGTCTCTATTTTTCGCCTAGAAAATGGAGACTGTTTCTCCGAAAGGTTGGTCTCTACCTGCGAATCAGCACGGCGTTAGTAATTGTATTTGGGGTTCGAGTGTGTTGTATCTGCTTAGGGGATTCCCATGCAAATGCATTGCCTGTGTATGTCCTATGCAGGTGCTGCTGGTGACGTCATCGCGACGGCCGGACCACTGGATCGTGCCCGGGGGTGGCGTCGAGCCTGATGAGGAGCCCAGCGTCACGGCTATCCGAGAAGTTATCGAGGAGGCCGGCGTATGCGGGAAGCTGGGCCGCTGCCTCGGAGTTTTCGAGGTAACTTTAAACTTTTGGACAAGACTCCTTTGTCACCACGGAATGTCTTGTTCGGTCGGACAGAGTACTTACAAAAGTATTTAGACAGTCTTGGACGGACAAGGGGTGAACTCGAAATTGGACGTGGGGCTAACCGCTCGTCACTGCGTGTAACGAAATGTCAAGAGGGCCTCCGATCTCGTCAAATTCTTTGGCACGATCTAAGAAACGGAGTGAGAACAAACATCTGATGGTTTTAAATGGAATGATATTCTAAAATGTATGATGAATGAAAAACATGGGCGCCAAGAAGTCCCTCAGTTCTTCTCGTCACCGCGCAATAAACGACCGTGTTTAAGACGTGATTTTTATGACACCGAAAATATTTTGTAACTATTAAACATTGCACGACTAATTTTCTGGAATTTCATGTAAATGCACGAGGTCGATGAAAGTTTGTTACATAGGAATCTCTCCCCGCGTTTTACAGCTGGGGTTAAATATATCGTTTTAAATGTTAAACTGAAAAAAAATAACACAATATAAGTGTTTGCAGTTATGCCTACAACCAATTATGGAGTATACTGAGCTCAGGCGATTGCACCCCTGCCTTTTTACCGCAGAGGCCCGGAGTCAGGTCTCAGGCCATTCATGTGGAATTTGTGGTGCACAAAGTGGTACAAACCTTGGCCCGGAGAGGCAAATGCTAGGATAGTACCTCAAATAAGCCCACTACCGCTTCCTTCAACATCCTTTCCAATCCATTATTCACTCTCATTCGAAGCTATATAATCTGAGCTACCGAAAAAGCGCCGTTAAATGAACTATAAATAAATAAAGTGGTATAGGATTTGTGATTTTCGCGGCGAGTACAATAAATAAAATCTTCTCGGGCAATCAGCCGCGTTAGCTGGTTACCGTAGTAAACCGACGTTTCGGGAACATCAGTACCCTGAAGATGGGGACAGTGGCACTTTCTCTGAGACATTTATCTTTCTCCTGCCATTCGTCCATTCATCGTTCAATCAGTGTTCCAAATTCATCTTTCACAGCCCCTAATATGCGCGACAGTCCTGACCAGCCAGCACAGTCCTCAGTTTTGACCGGAATTTGGCTGCACTCAGGGTATGGAAATCGACAATTACTTTTATAAAACATACATAAATTTTTGATATCATACTCTGAAACACCTTTATTTGCATTCTCTCATGATATGGCCAGCGTCACAAGACCAAATTACAATAGAAGCACAGACGATGTGGATTTAATCGACCCCGTCTATGGTATGGGTATTTTCCGCGTTCATCTGTTTGTGTTCGTTATCATCGCTGAGGATCAGGAGACAAGGAAATACAATTCAGGGCATGTTCGGTCAGGGGACAGGCCATTCTCACTCTCACACCCTTCTACAATAAATATGTTCAGTTGGCTTGACTCATTACAAGCGGAGTTACAAGTTCATTTTACGGTGAGGTTAGGGCCTGAGAATAGGAAATGTATATTACCTTTCTTCTTGGGTATTTCCCATTTTCGTAAGTACCCCATTGTATTCTCAAATTGTCGAACATTCCAGGCCCCTTCCGTAGACTCCATTATCATTGAAGATCTCTGTCTTCTGGGTTGTTGAGCTGTGTAATCTGGTAGAAGTTTACCAACGTTTCAGAGGTCATACTGCCTCCGTCATCAGGGCGATGAATCATCCAGTATCATTCCTTCCTGCATACAGATCTACTCGCGTTGATAACTAACCAAGGGCGATGTTTTGTGTGAGCTTAAGACGTCGTTACTTGCAAGGTTAAACCATTCCTGCGTACGAAATGCACAGCTGGAAATGGTAAACGGCGAGCCGTGCACATTTTCAATACATACATAAAGACACGTGGTGTGCCACGAGATCATCAGTTGTGTACGCCGTTTTGCCGCCCCGTGAATAAACTGGAGAGAGACAGACAAAAGCTGTTGGTAGAAAGATCAATAAACTTAAGAACAACTTTGTCCGTACCTTTTGTGACCCGAGACCTACGTAAATTAATTTGCAAGGCAACAAATTTCCGTGGATGTGACCGGGTGTTCTCATTAAAGTTGACTGTTTAATTTGCGTTAGTTTCTTCCGGTTGGGACATTCAAGGTCGCAGTGTTGTTCTCGGAAGCTTTCTCACGTCACGTTAGTTACCACCGTTTATTTGTAGGATAAAATGTCGTTTAATATGCAAAGCAGTGCCTTATTTATTTCGACGTGCGTTGGTCACAGACGAATTGGAAGCGTTGAACGTCAGAGTCGGACAAGTGGAAGACGACAAGATATTTAAATAATTTATGTAAATATATTTAAAACTGGGCCATTTCCTGCAGTTCAAGGTCGATAAGGATTTATTTTTGAACAAACTACCACTTGCTTTGAAATAAGTTTGCCAACTTCCTGCTTTTAAACGGTGGAATTCTGTATAGCTTCTTCTGTTAAATGTGCTTGCTTCGGCGGTATATACGTTCGTGCCAAAATTAGAACGATGCAGAGATTAGTGTGTCTCCTGCGCCATATTATCTTAATTGCATGATCCATATGTTTGTGGCTAGAATAGTTAACACGAGTAAAGACAAAGCATTTAACGGGAAATATTCTTTTTGCGTTCTCGCTAATTAACAAAAGTTCAGTGTAGATGGAGTTAACTGACCATTATAATTTCTATTCTCTAGTCCTTTCCTCATTGTGTTTAACGCTCTTTTTGCCCTTAATCTTAATGATACATTTCACAAAAGAATCTTGTATTAATATATTAAACGTTGTTCACTATTTTTTGTGTACTGGTACACACATGCAAGTGGTCACGGGATAGAATTCTGGTCGAGTCAAAAATGTTTTAATTGTTTTGTGTTGTTTTTACATTATGCAAATAATGACTATACCAAATTTGCCGTACATCATCGTAGGCTATGATCCTGTAGTAAGAGACGCTAGTGTCGATCCAGACCCATAATTTTGTTCGTCCGCCATGTTGGTATTACCGATTGTAGGAAATTGAAAGTACGAGTCTGGTTTGGGTAGCCTTCAGTGCCTGTACCAATTATTTAGACTTAAACCTTAGACTGTATAAGAGGTTGGATTAAACATTAATAGAAATACAAATTAATGGAAGAAATAAACCGGGTCTTTGTAGCTACTGTTAAGAGCACCAAATATGAAGGGGAAGATTTTAGAAGACGTGTATGAGATGGAATGTGAGTCCAAGCTGATGTATGGAGTGGAAATGTGGGCTTTAGACGAAGGGTGGAAAGAAGTCGACACAACCCTAGCGACGTTTTTATAATAGCCTGCTACAGATTTGTAGCAAATGGGGCAACCGAATTTGAGATGGGATGGGCAAGGTACGTGTATTCATTTCACTACGAAGCTTTACAGACTAAACAGACATTCCTGTAGCAGTTCAAAGCCAAGTACAGTCTGCTTTCTACCACCGTAAATATGCAGTATGTGGTTGCATTCGATGAATAATTGATTAAAATTCTTGTGCTCCTTCTCAATAATAGGGTTTTTATTTGGAGTTCTTAGCTTAAAATGCAATAAGTACATTTGGTAACATGCAACACTTCGAGACGGTTTAAATTTCAGTTTCATCCGTAAATGCGCGTAGGCACCAATAATTTGAATGACCCACCTGTAAATAATTATAATTAAGAATATTTATAATTTCTTGAGGTGATGGGAACTGGCTGGCAGCTTTTGAGCAGTGCAGTGGGCGACCGGTCGGCCAGTCAAGTGCCGAGGCCCTTAACTGCCGTTCGTTAGGTTATATATAGTATTGGGGCACAAACTCGGGTTAAATTAGAATGAGACTTGTATTTTGCAGGTTTCTGTCGGGCGAGGGTTATTGTAACTATCGCTTAAAAGTTATTGGTCAAGTTGTGATATGTACCTGCGACTCAGGTCTTACTTAACACCTGTTCCATTCCCTTTAAAAGGCGTGGGAGTATTCTTTTCCTCACTGGTTATTTGGACTCATGTCAAGAGACTACGTTCGATCCTGTACTTATTCATCTCGCATTCAGACGATAAATGAATCGCCAAATGTCGCACTGGAGTTATTAGCCCTCTCGCTTCGTATTCGGGAGGTTCAGGTTTGAATCTCAGCCCGGTGACTGGCTAACCGGACTGACGAGTTGTAGCTTAACACTAGGTGGAAAAATTATCATAAATGAATCGGTAAATTATATATTAATAATTTATAGTTCTTGCTGATCTCATCATATATTAGAATTTTTATGAAAGTAGACAACAATTTATTCCCAGAACGTGTTGTTGTTAACACGATTTTTCAAAAGTCCTCCAAGAAATTTTCGTGGGCGCAGACCCCTGCCAACCAATTTTCTTCCTTGACTGGAAGACACGAATATTGCCACTCAGCAAGGTTTATTTTCAAATTTCATGTATTGTGTTACTTGCTTTCATGTGATGTATCACATCGATGTTATATCGTGTTTCAGAACAGTGAGCGGAAACACCGGACGGAAGTGTTTGTACTCGTTGTGACAGAGGAGCTACCTGAATGGGAGGATGCCAAGAGCATGGGTATGAGTAATGGAACCATAAGACTGTTAAACGTTTCGTGTTGTAGTATAACAGATCTGAGATGAATAGTCAGAAGAGAAACTGAAGTCAGGAGGCATGGATGGCCAGTCCACATACTGTAGGAATGTATAACTGTATTACATTTCCATTTGTAATCTGTGTGCATAATGTTACAAGGGTGTGAAACTTAGTTACATTTGAACCAAGTACTGAGGAAGGTACTTTGTCCTGGCCTAAGAAATGTTAAATGACAGGATGATTGATAAAATGAGTGGTTTCACAAGCATTAGTCATCACCATATTTTATTGGGTCAATTAAACCAGGAGGATGGGTGAGGCATGTAGTGCTGCTTGGGAAGATGAAAAGTACATACAAAATTTTATTTTTGGTGCACGTTCTTTTGTGAATCTGTGAGTTCTGTAAAGACAACATATTCCTTGATGAAATACACTCAGGCTACAATCTCTGACTCGATTATCAAATTCCAGTCAGTCACTTAGTGTGTGAGCTTTCCCATCTCATCAGATGTAATTGTTAGTATATCTAACAAAAACTGGGAAATTTTAGAGGAACATGAGAAAATATCTGAGTTATATTTAGAAGGTTTTTGTGGGTTCTGCTTCCATCATCCATTCAAAATGTCTGCAATGATGAGAAATGAAATGTGTTAATGAACAACATTTTGGTATTAGGGAATGATAGAAGTAACAACATCAGTAAGTTAGATGAATTGTGGATCTGTGGAATTAAATTTAGTTGTTATAGCACTTGCAGAAATCAAGGAATAAGTGGGTGAGGGATGAAGGTATAAAAGGAATTATTCCCACAGAATTTCAGTGGGTCATTTCCACTAGTGTGGTCTTATCATATGTTCACTCTGTTGTCAGGTCGTAAACGCAAGTGGTTCACTGTGGAGGATGCTCTCGAGCAGCTATCACTCCACAAGCCAGTCCAGTTGGCATATCTGCAGTCACTTCTTACCTGTCGGAACGACAAGGTCACCTGAATAGTTCCAGATGTCCCGAATGTGTGTTTGCTTGCATGCGTGTAGCTGTGCCTCAGTCACCAGTATGAATGGTCATTCATGAATGGCCCATCTCAAAAAGATCTGTTATGTTAGTCACGATTTTTGTAGGACAACCCTGTTCATTTTATTCATGTAATATTTTATCATTGGCTATTTTAAATATATACATCTTTCATCCACATTAACCCTCTAGCTCTTATGCCTACTGCTTTGACTGTCAGAATTTGATAGACTGTTTTGGAAATCATCGAATAACATGAGATATCTTTGTACAAGACAAAAAGTGAAGATTTCTGTCTTCTGGGGAAGTGTTGAAAATAAAATATTAAATTTGAGGATCTTGTGGAGGATTTCTGACAGAATTATATTTAAATATGAAGTGATTTCTTGAAAACAGAAGTTATGTAACACAGGTTGATAATGCAAACATACATTTGCTTTTAGTTCTGTGAATGTGCTTGAATATCAAAATCCAATAAATTAAAATATATGGATTAAAATTATAGTGTTTGATCCAACATTTCAGAAACAATCTTTTGAATGTGTGTGTGTCTGTTTATATATATAGGTAAAATGTATTGTAGTTTTGAACATATTTATTTGTGGAGTTAATACTACAATGTATTTTATCTAGATAATAGAGGAAGACAATTTCTGTAATGCTGGATGCAATACTGTAATTCTAATTCACATATTTTAACTTCTAGGATTTTAATATTCTAGCACAGGCACAAATAAAGGAAAATGTATATTTGCAATGTTAGCCTATGTTAGATAACAGATTGTTTCCAAGAATTATGTGTTGTAAAGAGTGTGAAGATGGCTTGCAAACATTCAGTTTTGTCTACAAATCAAGTAATATTGTTATGTGATGGAAGAATACAGTTGATATTTGATATATTTCTGTAAGATACCTTTTGCATATTTTGCCATCTTTTAACACATTTACTAGTTACATACAGGTGTAATGTCAGTTCAGACATGTTTTGACACTGCGCCGCCTCCGGCAGTGCATGGTTTTCATCAACGAAAGAGTTCCATGTTCTGCGAGATGGTTGTACTTCTCATCAGTGTAGACCAGCTTGTGACAAGATACCACAGCACGTTCAAGAAACAAACTCACTTTGTGATGGAATATGGCAAGGAAACTTGACTATGCATATTGTGCGCATTTCTTTTATTGGTATTAAATTATATGCAACAGAAAACAATTCAATAAACGTCAGGCTGCTTGGTCCTTTACAGGCCTATCAGAACCAGCATCCTTGACTTGCGTGGTTTAATTATAGGCAGAAGTAATCTCATGCTTTTTTATAGTTCTTTAAAAGAAATTGTTTCTTGTCATTATTTTCTTTATGCTGAAATTTATAAACAACTTTTGATGGTTGTTTACCAATTTAAAGGTTTAGACAGTGTCTAGGGACTTGAAAACAGTTTTTTATAATTTCTGTGCTACATCTGCTACTATAATCATTGTTAAGGTTACAGCTTAGACTTTAATTAGTTTAATTATAGAAAGCAAATTGGCTAAAGACATGATCAAGCAAACATTTTGTCTGACTGGCAAATGGAACAAATGTGGATCATAATTGTAAGACCTATCTGGCAGTTGGTAATAATTCATCCCCAACTTGCAGCATTTTATAATTCATTGTATTTGTAAGATACACACTATCATATCAGTACACCTCAAACCTCTGTAATAACTATTTTATCTGGTTGACTTATTTGTTTTTGCTTGAATTGTTTGCTTCTTAAATGTTAATCAAATCAGATATAGTGTACTAACTAATCAAGTCCCTAATACAGGACATTCCTGATACTGAAATATTTAGTTACCTCTTTTGAAATACAAAAATTAATTACAGGAAAAACATATTCATTGTAGTTTAACCTCTATTATTTATTTTAAGTTAAAGGGGATGTGAAGTACCTGTTTTAATGGCTGCATGCAGCAGCTATTTTTAAATAGTTATTAGGTGCCAATATAGATACTGGAGATTGCTTTCAAAATTGTCTGAAGATTTTTTTTTTCTCTCCCAAAATAATCTTGAACTTTCAAAATTTTCTGAAGATTTTTTTTCTCTCCCAAAATAATCTTGATGAGAAATTAATGTCTTTCAAGATGAAAAGAAAATTAGTTTCAAACCAGAAAAAATATATGTTAAATGTTTAACTCATATTTTAATCACAAACTAACTATACTGGCAATATCTGTCTTCCTTGTTTCTGATTTACAGAAATACTCATTAATGTAGAGTTGAAACAGGTTGACTGAAGCACAAGAATTTGATTGTTTCAGTTGTTGTTGCGTGTGTATGTGTATCAAGGACAGAGTGAAAGAGTTAATATCTTAGTTTGAGCATTCAGGCTACTGTAATTTCTGTGCCCTACTCATTTTATTTTTTATTTCCTTATTTTTATTATTTGTACCCTGTTTGTTATTCTGTACTATGACAAGAAGAATTGTATTATTTCACAGGCAAAGTAGTGAAGTATAAATAATTCTGGTACAGCGATGATTCTTCAACTTACAGTGCAGAGAACTGGAAGAATTCTAAACCAAATGTGTCCAGTTTACAAATATATGTTATATTTATTTTTAAGGGCAACAATAGAAGTTATTAGTTTTTAAGGTTTAAAATAGGGAACCTTATGTTGTGTTAAGATATTCAGATCCAACTGGAAGTTCATCAGGCTGCCTCTGTAACAGGCCATTTTTGCCCAGGAGCAAAGTGTTTTGCAACTGTATGGAAATAAATTGAAATGAGATTCTTGTATGCATGTTGCCTATACTGTTTATTGTTGATACTGCATTGTGAGAAACAGCCATGAACTGTAACTTAAACTAAAATAACAAGTGTTTGCCTCATACCACTCCAAAAATTTCCAACTGCTAGTATGTACTGGAGGTAAAGTTACATTTGATATTTCTGATTGCTAGTCTGAATGTTTTTCAAATTCTGGACTGCTCCTTTATATGTAGACTGATCTAGTTGAAATGTTACAATGCCGTAAGTTAGAATGACAAAGCTTGAAACACAATTCTGTTTTTATCCCTGATGGCAGAAAACAAATTCCACTTACTTAAAGGTAGCACCAGAGCTCTGTAAAACCCTCTGCCTGGCAGGCACTGAACTAACTTAGAATTCCCTCTAATAAAAATGTAATGTTCATAAAGTAGATGTACAAGCCTGGAAGAAAAGTGCTGTTGACTTCAGGTTCTGTTTCCATCCCTGATTTTGAAAAAACACTTTCCCCTTTCTGACAATTGTCTCATTATAATTTCACAGTTACTTAACTGGATATATAATCTGATGCCATGTAAGAGACTGTAATAATTTTACAGTACATTGTAAAAAAACACTACCATAACAAATTGTAATGTAAGTCAGTTTAATCTGACATCCCTTCTTAGAACTTGTAATTCTATTTTTCATCATTGGCGAAGTATTTGAAAATTTGCAATGACCAAACAATTTATTTTGAGGATTTTATTTTAATTTCTTGAGCAGTAGTATTGTCTATCCTTAAGTCCACTGCAAGTGGTTAATTTTATTATTTTACTGTGAACCATTCCAGTGAATACAGAATAGTGTTTTCCAATGAAGAGATGTCAAGGCAACATAATCATTGTACTGCCAATGAAGAGATTTTGAGGCAAGTGATTGGGAATACTAATTCACCATAATCCTCGTACTGTGCTGTACTTCCAGGAGCAAACTGAGTTTCACCATACCTAAGTTTGAGTAAGATTCATCCACAAATCATGTCAGTGTCTTTGGCATGCACAGTATGCATGGGTGGGCCCTGATAGTTTTCTCGCGTATTCAGTGGAGGATACTGGGTTATAATATTCATGTTCCTTAATGGCCACTTTCCTGGTGCAGTTACTGAAAAATATTTGGTTTTTGTGCTTTATGTTGACCATATTGTTCTTGACAGGATTGCATAGACCTGTAATGTCTTTTTCTATGCTGTTTTTTCTGCAAAAGGTTTTTTTCCCATGGTAGTATGTTTATGTACTGCTACAGATGCATTGCGCAGACTATAGAGAACAGGTGTGTAATGACATTTCTGGTGTGATATGAAAAGATTTAATAAAAGCACATCATTGAACCTGTAACTGCAACTTCTGTAGCCTCTTTATACCAATAATCAAACATTTATAAGGCCATGCAGTTTTTTTATATAATTACAGTCTTAATTTTGCTCACAATGTACTTCACTATCTTAGTATACAGCCTTAAATACTTCAGTTTCAGGAACATTTTTAAGATACAGCAGGGATGTCCCTATTTGCTGAAAATGTTTCTAGCTGTTGAATTGTATGCAGGTGAATTCAAAGGTCATCATTAGAACGAATATTGAGTATATAATAAAATTGTTTGTGACTTTATAAAGAGCTGTAAGATTTAATTTTATCAATTGGAATTTATATTTGAGGTGGTAGATGTCTTTTGACTTTATGAACTGGATGAGAACAGTACAGAACATTTAAGAAAAGTGTTGTTTCCTCTCAGAATAATATCTGATATCTACAGCATCATTTCCTGCAGTTAAGAGTGGTAGTGAAATATGTGTTAACAGCAGTACATGAATCAAGTAAAGAGTCTGTGTATAATTCAGATTTGTTTTGTGCTGGCTCCATTTTAGTCTTTGTAAATAGCTTTCTTATGTCTTCAGTAGTATAAAGTTGTAAATGTCTGGTGAAAGTTAATACTTTGTCATTGTAATCAGAATTTTATTAATTACTGAGCTTTGTTTCATCAAGAGTTATATCACCATTTTTTCAGCTTTGAAAACTATTCTTCTGATTCTGACATGATCAGAATGATGTGCAGTTACTTGTGCATCTGTTAGAGCTGCTAGTGAACTAGTATGGACCCACAGAACAGGTTAGTGTGATGTCACTTTTGTGTGAGGTACCCAGCTTGAATCTCAGATGACTGAAAGTCTTCCTCAGGCTTTCCAGGATATGATAACTTCAAATAATTCTTGACTGTGTCATTTTAAAATCCTTGTCTATCAACCATTAATTTACTCATTCATTCTTCCCAAGTCATTTGATGCTGTATAACCTCTTCAGGTGGAGAGGCATCATTAAATAATCTAAAAATCGATATGTTGTAATGACATCAAATGCAGGTTTGCTTGTATATTGGTAGCAGCTTGTGGAAGTCAG